GCAAAAATTCTTATTCATATTTCCCTATACATGAGCATAAATACTATACATGCCCCTCATATATGCATATGCATATACATATACACACATATATTGTATATATGCACACACATGAACAAATATCGGGGGTTGGCAGGCGCGCGCGCGCTTTTTTTTTGCCTCGTTTTTTTTTCCTCTTTTTTTTTGACATGTGCCGCCGCGGCACGAGCTGCGCGCAAAGTTGGCAGCACTTTAGTCTTTGTGCCTTTGTGTGGGTGTGTACGGGCGGAGGGGGCAGTTGAAGTATTCAAATTTGCATTCGAGAAGTAACGACTTAGGATTATGAAAGACTGCTGGTCAGCATATATGTATGCTCGTCTGTGTAATTTGATTGCCCGAAACTCAATTAAGAAGCACTTCAGTCAAACGGACAATACTTATAATTGGGAATAGCCAGAGCAATACCAAAATATATGAAGTAAAATTAAATTGACTCTAGAAGACTATAGACTTGAGTAGAAAATGTTACAAAAATATCCTAGAATATCCTTAGCAAAAGAAGCAAGAGTAGGAAGGAGAGGTTTTCTTTTTATCAACATTGCCAAGGAACAAAGTGTTGCTAAAAGACAGAAATAATTCACTAATTTAGATTCTTTAATAAATACAAGAGAACCAAAAGTTAGTTTTTAGATGCTTCCAGAGAAGTGTTAAGCAATTTCCCAAGGCAATGCTCTTGTTGCTTCGCTAGAAAAGCTCCATCAAGTCTAACTAATAATAAGCGCATAGCTTTAAAAATATTACTTGCAAAAAAAAACACACCTGCAGAGAATAAAGCAAATGAATAGGTTTAGGACTAAGCAGTCAGTTCCAAAAATAACATATACTTGTAGTACTCGTGTATGTCTGGCATTAATGATATGCAATATAGTGTGTAGAAATGTATAAAAAGTCCACTCCAAGCTCTGCAAAAGTTATCTTTCAAAGGCAGTGATGAAAAACTCGAATTACATTCTAAATGCATCAAAAAACGAAAAAGAAAAAAGAAGAGTTTGTAAATAGTCCCTCAGATATTATTTGAAGCTTTCCAAAAAGCAAATCCCAGGCACTTACGGTTAAACAGACAAATATATATATATATGTGCGTGTGAATGTGTATGTGTGTGTGTGTGTGTGTGTGCATGGCTAAGGGATCAACATCGTTTGGCTAATAGAAATGTTAACAGCTCAGCACATTGGCCCCGCTGTTAACATTTCACTTAACATATTTGGCGCGCGGTTTTCATTTTTCGTTACGTTTCGGCTTACTCTTGTTGTTGTTGTTTCTTTTGGTATTTTGTTGCTGTGCGCCTTTGAAGTGGCGTTACACACAGAAATATTAAATGAAATGGCGCGGCGCATCGCCAAAAAAAAACCAAAAATAAAATAAAAAAAATTGCCAAATGAAAAACCCAAAAATGCTAACATTAAAAGGGTGCTCAATACTAAAGCCTTTTGCTATAAGCTGACCACACACGCACACACACAAACACACTCAGTCACACACACACACACACATACACACACACACATGCAGTAGAACGGGCATTGGCTAGCCATTGAAGTGGCATTGAAGTCGTCGACGGACTTATGTGTGGAGTACAAATAAAATAAAAAGCAACAAAAAAAGAAGCCAAAAATACCCAAAGCCACCCGCATTTTAGTTAATTAACTCATTTGGTTGCCGGCAACTGCTGTGTTAAGTACAACAAGAGCTTGAACTGGGCCACAAAAGGTTGCATGACTGCACAATTAATTGATTTGCTCAGAAATGCTGCAGAAAGCACCCACCCTCCCCCGTTGAAGAAAAAGACAAAAAAAATAAATAAATACAAAACACAAAGCTTCCGGTATAGGACATTGTTGCCAAACTTCAGCGAACTACGCGCTGTCCAACAGACAACTAGTTGGCGCGAGAGACAAGTGTTGAGCTTCTCACGAGGATTGCATTTCAACAAGTTTCGGGTAGAAAGAAAGCAAGGAAAGTGCGATGAGTTGATGATAAGGTAGTCAAGGCGGAGGCGTTTAGTGGTTGCTTCTAATGCCATAAGAGGAACAATGTTCTTGACAATGCTCTCTAATCCAACATTTGTGCTAATTTGTTGTTCAGGTAAATGAAGCAGATTTGCAATCAACGATTGTCCATACTCTCAAATTTGCAGCTAATATGCGCAGATATATTTGCGGAATGTTCACACAAAATTTGATAACTCTAGCTCTGACGCCTTAGTAGAATGAGCGGATCAGACATGCAAACAATTTATTTAATTTATTGAAAATCTATTTTCTTTTGAGCTTCTATCTCATGCTTGACAATTGCTTTGCCATAGTTTCTGGCTACTTACGAAATATGTTAATCATTTCAAATGGCCAAACAATCGATTTTCAAAAACAAAAATAAAGTAACTCTCGACAGCAAAAACAACAAGAAAAAGCTAACGAGAAGCGTCGTCCTCGACGTTTGCCGTATTATGAAAACAATTTTCAAGCTTAAGCAGCTCATGCCGCAAAAACAACAACAACAACAGCCACAGACATTGCGGCGAACAGTCAGCATGAGAATCAGACAGCACACGGACCTAGAGGCTGGCAGTTGTCTGGCAATTTAAGTCCCTGTGCCGATGACGATGACGACGACGACGACGGCTACGACGATGAATAACGATGAAGAGGACAAAACTGCAGCTTCCTTTCTGACGTGTGTATGCTGGCGGTTTGAAGGGAGGGGGCCAAAGAGGCAGGCAGGCTTGTCTGTTGTTTGTACTTAAGAGCTTTTAAATATCATAAATATATATCTATGCGCCATTATTGAGTTTTATGTGGTTGGGGTTGCCAGCGATATTGGCGGGAGTGGGCTGGTCGATGGGGTTTCGGTTTGTCTCGCTGGTTCAGGATGTTTGACAAATACGACTGAAGGGCCATTCAGCTGCAGGCGGAACAAAAAACAAAAAGACAACAAATGATAAGGCAAGTGCGGAAAGGATAAAAAAAAGAAACAGCAACTTTTGTATAAGAATATAGAATTCAACAAATTGAAATACATGCTTGTATGCAATAAAAATTTAGATACAAACTATGAAGATAATAAGCATGTTCTGTCTAATAATTGGGCATTCAAATAGTTGCTATATGAAGACATATTTGAAGAAAAAATAATAGTTATAAAAAAATTTAGGCATTCAAACATTTGCTGTATGAAGACATTTTTAAAGAAAAAATAATAATTATAAAAAAATTTAGGCATTCAAATAGTTCTAATATGGAGTATTAGTATGCCCCAACCATTGACAATTTAATCGCCTTAACTAGCAACCTAAAACCTTCTAGTCCGTCTCTAGTCCCTTTGCAATAAATGTTGCTGCAATTGCCACTTACTCAGACCCACTTGGCTGCTTGTAACGACTTCCTGCTTAACTTTTGGGTCGTTGTAGTTGCTGTTGCCGACGTCTCATCGATATGAAGAAAAACTTTGCAAAATGAAACAAATAGTTGAAATGCAAAAACAAAAATAGAAACACAAACACAAACAGAGAGCAGTGCCTAAGAACTAAAAACCTTGTTGCCGCCTATAGACTATCGACTCACTAATTTCCAAAGTTCTTTATTGCCTGCAACGCCCCATGCAAGAGTCCTTAGACCTCTCCCCCCTCCCTCCCTCTCTCTCTCTCTCTCTCTCTCTCTCTCTCTCTCTCTCTCTCTCTCTCTCTCTCCCGCACTCGGCCGCACCAGCAATTTCTTGTGTCCTGCAACACTCTTGCCTTTTGCCGCCCATTGCTTCCGGTATTTATACAAATAAAATTTCACAAAACCAAAAGCCCAAAAAGCTGGCCAACAAGTAAAAATCAACGATGAAATCGAAGCCAAAAAGCCGTAAAAGTCATTGCCGTCGCAATTTTCTAGCAGCAACAGCAGCAGTCGAAGCCGACGAAAAGCCATGCCTAGCCCGGCCGGCCCGGCACGGCCCGTCCACAGTCCCCCTCTCTCTCTCTCTCTCTCCATCTCTCCATCTCTCTCTCCCTCTCTCTTACAGTCCAACAGTCCCATAGTCGAGCAAATGCCTCGAACCGAGAGCCCAGACTAATTTGCCAAAAAAGTTTGCACCGCATATTTTTGTAACCTTTTTTTCTCAGTCGTTGCCGTTTGCAATTGTTTCTGTTGCTCGTGCTGTTGTTGCTTTTGTTGTTTTAATTTCTCATTTGGCATTTGATTTTATTTTATGCACAACAAATATTATGGGCCTTCGTCGTGGTCTTGACTGCGCCCAATCCCAATCCCCAATCCCAATCCCAAACCCAACCCACAACCATAACGAAGCCCAAGCTCGAGCCCAAGCCGAAGCCATCGCCTGTCTGGCTTTCCGGCTTTCTGGCTCTGCTTTCAGGGCTTTTGCCTGTCTAAGGTCAACGCTAATAGCACTAAAATTTCAAGTTGGCTTATCGATACCAACGATAAACTATAAATTTGTCGGCTGGCTGTTTAGTTTTTGTCGGTTCTACGGTTGCTAATGCAACTAAAGTAGAGTTGGAGGGGGGACCAACTTTTTCTAAGCCTTTTTTCCAAGTCTATATGAGTGTGTATGTGTGTGTATGTGTGTGTTGGCCAAAGTTTTGCAACGTATTAATTTGGCTAAATTTAACCCGTAATGACTTTAAAAGTAAAATTAATGAGGGTCGATAGTGGCAGGCTAGGTTTGAGGAGCTCGGCAGGGGGCAGTTTGAAAGTTGCTGCCAGCATATGCGGCTGACAGGCCAGTGTGGCTGAGGGTGGGCGCACATTTTCCGGATACGGCAGCACACACCTAGAAGCAATGTGCACTCGTATATTAGAGTATGTGCTGCTTAGAAAAGAAAACATTTCTTAAATCTCATCTATGTAGTATTTGTTAAATAGTTTATAATTTAATTGAGTTGAGAGTGGGGGGTCACCACAAGTTGTTCAACATCTTCTCACCCCCCCTGTCTTTCCGTTGTTTGTTTTTCTTGCAGCGCGCAACACTAGCCGAGAAGGAAGTGAACACACTGAAAGAGCAACTCAACACAAATACGCCCAGCAGTAATAACAGCGACGATAATAACAGCAACACAGCAGCAGGACCAGCAGGACCTGGTGGTGCAGCAGCTAGTGACGAAGAAGCAGCAGCAGCAGCAGCAGCGGCTGTAGCTGCAATTGGAGCAGAGGCTGCTGCCGTTGCCGGCAATCCCAACGATACGGACAGCGAACGCAAGCTGCTCAATAGCGTTGCAGCGGCGATTACGCTGCATCAAAACGGCGGCAATCTGCTGGCCACCAACACACCATCACCATCGCCGCCATTGCTCAGCGCTGAGCAGCAGCAGCAATTGCACAGCAGCCTGCAGCAGAACGGCGTTAACGGGTGCCTCAATCCAAAGCTCTTCTTCAATCACGCTCAGCAAATGATGATGGAAGCGGCGGCTGCTGCTGCTGCTGCAGCGGCTGCAGCTGCGGCGGCTGCGCAACAACAACAACAGCAACAGCAATCGCCAATGCATTCGCCCACAGGTGCTGCTCCAGTTGGGGCAGCAACACCTGCCCCAGCAACAACAACAGCCACTGGCAACACACAACAGCAACAGCAGCAAATCGGTCGTGATGTTGCTGAGCATCAAACAGCGAGTGGCAACAACAACAGCAGCTGCAACAATGTTGCCGGCGCTGATGACGATGAAGACGATGATGATGAGGATGTATCGATGCATTCGAATATGGCGCATGCCGATGGCGATGAGGACGATGACGACGAGCTCGAGGAGCAGGCTGTGGAGCAGGAGGATATTGAAGCAGCTGCCACTGTTGCTGCCGTTGCCGCTACTGTTACTGCTGCTGGTCCAGATGCCAGAACTGACAACAGCAATGAGCATATTGCGGATGATGTGGCAACTCTGGAACATCAGCAACAACAACAACAACAACAGCACAATGAGTTGGATGAAGCTAGTTTAAATGTTAGCAATAATCACAATACCGATAGCAATAATATCTGTAGTCGAAAGAACAGCAACAACAACAACAACAGTCTGCCACAACATGTTGCACTGCGTGATAATAATGATAATGAGCAGCATGTGGCCAGCGCTGAGGACGACGATTGCACCAACAATAACACTAACAACAACAACAACAACAATGAGAAGCGCAAGAAGCGTAACGCCAGTAATAACAACAACAACAATAATAATAATAACAACAATCAACATGCTGTTTTATTAGCTGCCAAAGATAAAGAGGTAAGTGATGCAATCAATATTTTCAAGTAAGCCCAATATTTTAGCTTTTAAAACAAAAACCATTCAGTAGCTCTGAAAGTAAAGTAGAGAAAGGGGTCACCAAATATTTAGCTGTTAAGCTTTACCTCCATGAACCAATGGTGTCTGCCAAGCCTCGTTCTCTGTGTAACATACATTCTCAGTAAGCTACATAGTAGCTTACCCATTTACCCTTTGGGAGATATAATTACACACTTCCAGAATCTTAAGCCTGTAATTCGAAATAAATCGAATTACTTTAATAAGCTAAGCAGCTGCAATTTGGCATTACTATTTCCTTGATCAATCAACAACTATTCTGAAAATTATATAATTTAGACCCAATTCAAGCTCCACTTTAAGCTTGTTCTTTAATTCAATAGACTGCGCCCAGGCATCATCGTTCACGCTCTCTATGCAAACCCCATGGCACACAATTACCCGGCGCAATGAAATGTAAAACCGTTAAGATTAGACAAACGTTTCTGGGCCACCAAAAAAAAAGTATAATATAAAAAAAAAAATCTGAGAAAAAAGGGCAAAAGGAGTGAAAGCCTAGCCAACAAAAATGCCAACCGCAGACGATGCCGACGCACGTCCGACTGACTGACCGACCGAAGGACCGACCAGTAGGACGGTCGTACGCACAATTGAGAAAACACTTACACAAATAAACAAAACACCCCTCAAACCCCCTCCACCCACCCTTGCGCACTTTTCTTGTAATTTTCTAGCCAAACACAGCAAAGCAAAGAGAGAAACAACACAAGACAGAAAAAATTCATGACACTACTATAAAGACAGCTACAATCGACTATGGCATGCTCTATATGCATACATATATTTGCTCAATAGACTAATTTTTCCTATGACAGCTGTATCATACTGCCTCAGTTGACAAATATCTAACACACATTAGTCTGTAGCAGGCTAAAAGCACATTTGAGGTCGCTAGCCCCAATAGCTTTCTAGAACCAAACGTTCATACAGTCGAACAGTCGACAGGCAGCAGGCAGTGCATGGCTTATCCAAACAGTCCACAAATTTATACACAACTGAGTATCCTTCGGGTATCCTAGGGTATAACAATGTAGCCAAGGAATGTACAATGCGGCGGCGGCAACGACCACCGGACTGTTGCGCAAACAAATGAGCGTCGTTCGCATCCCACGCAAGCCAAAAAAAAAGGACTTTTGACTTTTTCTTTACACGCAGACAAGGGAACGATGTCGACGACGACATTGGCGAAGAAAGAAGGAAAAAATGCAAGGGATTTGCTTGTTCTATGCAAATAGCAGTGGAAAATGGGAAAGAAAAAAAAAAAAAATTGAAACACACAGGACGGCAGAAATGCAAAAAGTTAAAACGAAACTTTTTCCAACACTTTGACTGAAGGTCGAGTGAGGGTCGCGGCTGGGGGTCTTCTACAACTGATTGGGTCTGGGGGTGTAAAGTGATATCATTAAAATATTGACAAGACAATTTTTACGCCTACAATTTGTTGACTGCTTTGTTTACATTGTTGGTGTTGGTTGGCCTGCTGCTGCTGTTGTTGTTGTTATTCTTATTGCTGTTAAGGGTAGGCTGGGCATGGTCCTTGATTGCCGGCAATTGTTTGAATGCGTATTATGAGCGAAGAAAGAAAAAACAAGTAGGCATTTGATTATGATACTACATAGCAGTAGTGCATGGGACATGAACTTCAATTGCATTTGAAACCCACACTACTAGAAGTTTGTCAAACTTTTGTGACATTTTCAAAATTGTGAAAGAATTATGCGTCGGCCGGGAATTGAACCCGGGTCAACTGCTTGGAAGGCAGCAATACTAGCCACTATGTAGGTCTCCCTCCCTGGTATTTGCTGCATGGCCTGCTTCGATTAGACTATTGTTCCGAACAAGCCCTAACTTTGCATTCGTTATATTATCGTTCATTATCTCCCTCTACTCAATCTCTTATCTTTTCACTTGCAATTTCTTGCTTTTCTCCATTTCCATTTCTTTCTCTTCCCTATATTTTGCCATTATCGTTGTCTTCTCGCTTGTCTCTTATTCTTTGTACGTTCCACATCCTTTCTTCAATTTCGATCACGCTTTTGCTTTTCTTTCTCATTTCACATTTTTTTCTGTTAATTCTCCTTCTTTCTTTCTCTTTCTCTTTGTTAATTCTCTATCTATTCTATACTCGATACTTATTATACAAATATCTCTCCCGTTCTCTTAGTATCGTGCTGAATGTTCTTATTCTTCCACTTACGGGGGTAAAGCCTTTGCTGTCTTCCTTCATCTTTTTTGTCGTAAACCAAGCGTTTTCCACTTCGCTTCTTTTACATCTCAATCTTTCTTCACCTCTCTCTCTATCTCTCTCCTCATGTCTTACTCCTTCTCCGCCTCTCTTTTCATCTCTCACTCTTTCTCCATCTCTCTGTCTCTCATCATTATTGTCATCCCTGCAATCTTCCTCTTCATCTATTTATTTATCCTAAGATTTCTTCCCTTCCCTTATCTATTAACCAACTGGCATATCCCTCTTTTTCTCTCTCCCTTTCACCTTTCTCTCATATTATTTCTACGTGTATCAAGCTGCTTTATAGAACATGAAGCTACCTATTCTATTGCTTAAAACGTTTCTTTGTTGCACCTTCAAAATGCATCGCTCCGTAGATGCAACGCACCTCATTCCCAGTCCCTGACTCGTACCCCCAGTACCGAGCAGTTCCTCCGTTGCCTTGCCACGCGTTATCATCTACAAGTATCCAAGGCATTTTCTAATTTCTCTAATGCAAACAACTCGCTCGCCTGGCTGTTGCTCTTGCCGTTGTTTACATTGAATGATTGCTTATCGCCAGCCGGCTGCACCCGGCACCCAAACGCCGTGCAACCCTTCCAATTGCAATCTTTGGCGTGGGCGGGTGTTGTGGATGTGTGGTTTTGTTGTTTTATGGCACCGTTAAGAAAGCGTCGCAAAAGTAGCAGGCAACCTGCTCCATGCCCTCCAGTCCCCTGCAGTCGCTCCATCGCATTTTAACATCAATCATTATCATTTGCCATTAAGTGCAGCAACATCTTCTTCTGTTGCAGCATCTTCATCTTTTAAGCGCCATTAGCAACCCCTAGGTGTTGTTGCACGTGCGAAAAGCCCCAACCTTGGCCAACGTTGTGTTTTCTTTAATGTTTTTATCACTTTAAATGGGAGTGGATGTGGGAGTGGGAGTGGAGAGACCCCACTCCCACCCCCCTGTGCAAGATTCCATTTCCAAACCACATTTGTTCGCTTGTCTTCTGCCACTTATTTGCCTCTTGCTTTTAGCTGACCCGCCCCCCCAGTCGCTGCCTTTTATTTTGCGCGCGCATTTCTTATTTGAAATCCATTAAAAGCTATTTTTGCAATAAATGCAATGCGGCAGAGGTAGAGGCAGCGGCAACACGAGCTGCGGTAAATGATCATTATTATTATGCCTCTAGCCCGTCAAAGCATCTTTCAATGTTTAATAGCTTCGTCGTCGGTTGTCGTGCGTTCGAGTTTTGGATTGTGGGTTGACTGGATGGGTGGCTGGCTAGAGGAAAGGGAGCGGTTATACCAATTTTTTGTTGTTGTTTTTGTTGTTTTTTTTTTTTTCAATATGCCAAATGCGCGCACTCAGCCTGATGGGCTTTTCGGCTCTATTCGACTCTGCTCATTAGTTTGATTACTGTTAGCGCACTGTTAAATAACAGCCTCTCCGCCTAACAGTCTGTTGTTTGTCTCCCTCGGTCTATAGGTCGTCGTCTGCCTGCCTCCTGACAGCCAGTCAGCCAGCCAGCCTGTCTGCCGACCAGCTGTTGATAAATGCCAGCAGCAAATGCACTCGACTGACAACTAAATCACTTATGCCTGCAAAGTTGTTGTTGCCGCCAACGCCGGCGGCGCCACAGATTTATCTGTTACACATGTTCATAAATATGCGACAATATTTTCAGAGACATTCTCGCTCGCATTTGAAACAAATATGAATATGAATGCCCGAACTTGGAAGCACGAACTTCCAATGCACTAAACAATAAAACTAAACTACCTCTATCTTTTCAAAAAAATATATAAACACAGTTTCCAATCAATGTTTTAGGAAAAAAATGTAATTGCTGCGTCGGCCGGGAATCGAACCCGGATCAACTGCTTGGAAGGCAACTATGCTAACCACTACACCACCGACGCCTCTCGAACTTCAGCAACTTTGCCCCCAACTAGTGTTGCTAAACGACAAACACAAAGCTCCATTTCTTAGTTGAAAGCTAAGCTGATATATGTACTACAAGTATATGATTTTGAAAATAGATTTCGGCAGGCAGCATCAAAATACTAAAGCAGAGCTTTAAACGCTCGCTTGAACACTTCCAAAGCAAACAAATTATCACCAAATAATCTTCATTAGAAGCTAAAGTCAGGAGAAAAGTCAAAGCTTTGGTTAAAGCTGAAGCATGGAGCATCACTTAAATGTTAAGCAAGCCGATCTTATCTGTCCAAATTAAGAATATAGACTTCCCATTGTAAGATGAAATTAGGCAAGAAGTCAATGCAAAGATCGGCTTCGAAAATGCCAAAGATGATGCAAAGCGTGTATTGTAATTAGAAAAGTTGCATCTCGAATTCATAATTCGGCGTACTCCCTGTTTGCGAAGCGTATTGAAAATGATCGACAGCAAAAAAAAAAAAAAAAAAAACCAGTAATAATAATAATAATAATGTTAAATGGAATTGCAACAGTTGTTTGTTGTTAGTGGCAACGTCGTCGTCGTCTTTTCTGTCCAATTTTGTGTTAGCAAGCAGCTCCTTTGGCTCCTCCAACTGCATCATCATCATCATCTGCAGCAGCAGCAGAATCATGATGATGATCATCAACAGTAGCTGCTCTCCGCTATATGTTTATTTATCTTGGATGTGGCCGGCGGCGCGTGTTTATTTTTTCGCAGAAGTGCCTTTTCAATTTTATAGACAAGCTGGC